CTGAAGGGAGCAACGCAGCGACCCCGCCTCGGTCTGCCCTCAACGGCAGCCAATCAGCGGCGCCTGCCCGCATGACGCTAGAAAAAAAGCACCGCCCACGCGGGTCTTAAAGAGACAGGTGCTCTTGGCGTGGGGGAGCTTCCCCCCTCCGGCGGCTCCAGCTCTGCCGCCCCTCGCGCAGGAGGGGGCAGCGCTGGTTTTACCGTAAAAATCCCCAGTAAAGGCAGCTGCTGGCCTCACTGCTTCTGCACAGAGCAAGGGGCTGGAGAAGGGAGCAAGGCAGGCTGGCTATTCTCAACCCTACTGCTTTATTCAATAGTCGCTCATCCTACACAAGTACAAACACAACATGGCCCAAAAGGCTACAAAGTGATACAAAACAAAACAAAACAAATCTTTATAGTATTGACTGTACAACAGGTGGTAAATTCTTTGCCTTTCCCTATGTGAACCCCAGTTAATCCAGACAGCATCACGGCCTCAAGCCTCCCTCTCTGCCTTGCAGCTTCCAGGCGACTGTAGCTCAGTTGCTAACTGAGATTTGCAAAAGCAGAAGCACTCACACCGTTTCACCAGGGGGTTGTGTAGGAAGTTTTTACCAAAACCCTTTAAGAAAAGGTGAAAAAATCACTTACAGGGGCAGCTACAAACCAGTTCTTAAGATTTACAGCTTCTTTTCTAAAGTACCACATTCAGTGGGTTGGACCATTGTTTCTGTGGTGATCACCTGGTGCACGCATTACAGAGGAGCTTCATCTGCAGAAACTAGTATCTGTTTGGGAACTGCAATAAAGCAACAACTTGGTATTTAAGTCTCAGGCAGATCTGGACTCCAGCTGCTCTGAAAAATCCTGTGCTGGCACCTAGAGATCAAGTTAACTGCTTCCTTGTCTTACCATACAGGGTTTCTGAAATAGCTCAAGATTTACATGCTCATCTGTACAGCGTGCTAAGCGTTTAGAAATCACCAAGCAGCAGCCTGCTAACTGGAGAAAGAGAGGCTGTAACACCTTTTCTTTCCATATCTGGAAAAGATGTTTTTGCAGCCTTTAAAATCAAAGCCATTTTAAAATAATTTCAATTCAATGCCAGGACAAATAGAAGTGGCACAGCAAAGGCTATCTACTGGCCAGGAACTGTTGCTCTCTCCTCTTAGGTTGCCTTCACTGCCAGGATACTCTCTCTCTCACACTCCTCCTCACCCAGACCCATTATAAAAAAAAAGGTACAACATTTAGTCTGACGGGATTTAAGTTAAAAAATAAAACGCTGTCCAGTCTTTTTGCTTTATCGTGAGGAGTTTGAGCTGGAGCGGCTGCGATGGCGCCTTCGTCCAGGAGATCTGGATCTTGATCGCCGGCGAACGGGGGATCTGCGCCTAGGAGACCGGGACCTGACAGAGAAGGAAGAGAAAGCTTTCATTAGGAGACAAGAGCAACAGGTTCCAATAATTTGTCAGCTCATCTACCACCTTTTCAAAAAACATTTCCCTGCCCCCCTCCAAAAAAACCTCACACACCATGGTAAAAGAGCTTCAGTGAAACACAGCCAGCTCCAGAAAGGAAAAAGGCAACTCAAACGCTGACTACACAGCAGGAATATTCTGGCTACCCTCTCTCTGCTTCAGGAAGTTGAAAGAATGTGTAATATCCAAAGAAGAGACAAGAAACTTGTCTTCTTCCCCAGGCAAAACAAGCTCAAGTTCATTCTACATGAGATTCTCCTTCACCTGAAAAGTCAGCTTTGACTCCTGAAATAGAGTGATATTCAGGGAAAGGATTTATCCAAGCCCTTTCAAACCACAGGGACATTACTTAGAGGAAGAAAACTCTAAAGAAATAGTTAAGCCAAGCTCTTCAGTGCTACAATCAATCTGTACGGCACCAGTATGACACCAAAGTTCCAGGCACAGAATATTAACAGAGCCTGAACAGGATAATGAAAGGTAGACTAGCGAAGAATACAAACAATGAGGAGGGAACACCACATCTAGCATTTGCCAGACCTCAGTAAAAGGCATGTTTAAAGGAGGACCAACAGGCAGTGAATCTTGTGCCACGTTAACTAGTTCTCATTTTTAAACCTACAGGTTCATAAGCAATCAAGTGGCTCGAACAAGCCACTTTTACTAGTGACAAGAATTTAAACAGATTTCCAAGACAGAGGAGCCCATCTAGATGCTGAGGAAGACTCTGGAAGACTTATTATCTGAGCACATTCAGGCAGCCCCAAGTCGCACAATGGGTGTGTGCATATCAGGTCAAATCTTGGGGTCAGTGTACTCTGCTCACCTGATGCAGAAGGACTGCTTTTTGGTCATGTGCCCATTCACAGAAATAACGGAGTGAGGTGCAAGGGCTTCAGCAAAGCAAGCAGCTGGAGCAGGCTGCCAAAATCACTCTGCCAGCCAGAAGTCTATGCCCCCTTCACCTCGAAGCATTTATGCAGAAGGGACTCCAGGGAACGGGCTGGAAAGCATCTGACATTTCCAACAGACTGCGTTCAGAGTGTAGACCAGAGCAGGTCACCCTGGTGCTAAGGAGTTAAGAAGTATAATCCAGGTTCAACTGATGCCCAAAAGGTGTTACTGCCATTTTGAGGGGAAAGTCAAGTCCAACAGCATTAAAATTGTCCCCGTGCCAAGTCTTTCAGTGATAACATGTTGTTACACTGAGAAGGAAATAGAAATTGTCACAGCTCTCACCTTCTCCTCATGCGAGGGGGTGATCTGCGCCACATAGGTGGTGGTGGCAGCATCCTCCTGGGTGGGCTAAAGCGTCTGGGAGGTGGCCTAGGCCGTGGTGCCAGCACAGCTGTGGCAGTGATCTCCTGACCATCAATCTGACCTTTTTAGGGAAGCACAGAAACACGAAGAAGTAAGTATTTTCCAACACTAACATCTACACATCACATTACTGCAACTCACAGCTTTGTCACAAACAAGTGAAGCATGAATCAGCCTAGAGTCCTATTTCCACCACCCGCTCAGGGGTTATTTTCACAAAGTCCACACACATACTAGACTTCTTAATCTAATATCCCATCAAATTGCAGTTCAGATGTTAACTGGGAAAGATTTTCACAGAAACTTAAATAATTTTATTACTGTTTGTTTTGAAAAAAAACCTGTTTTAATAGTTCTGTGATTTTTTGGATCTGTCCTGAACCACACAAAAGCCAAAGCCATCTGGGCTGAAAACAGTACTTCAGATCAGTTCCTTATCACCTCTAACTCATTTTCAGATCAAATTCATCTGCACCAGAGATTTTTAAAAGCACCCAGCCTCCTTGCAGCATTTGATACCTACCTCCATCCATGTGTTTCAGGGCTTTCTCTGCATCATCAGGGCTCTCAAACTCCACATAAGCATAACCTTTAGAGAGGTGTGGATTTAGCCTGTCAACTGGCATGTCAATCATTTTAATCTTTCCATAAGTGGAAAAAATTTCCATGATGTGATCCTGCAGAGAAAGAGTAAGTCTTAAGGATGTAGACCACACTTACTGACCAGGTCTGGCTGGCACAGAGCAGTGAATCCACAGCACCAGATTAGCTTTAAATCAATGCCACCATCAGGAAGAGACATATTTCATTGGCCATATGTGGAAAGCATTACCACTGCTTTCTCTACTGTTGCCTATTCAGTTCCTCCTCACATTGTTCCAAACCTTATGTTTTAGCAGCGTTACTGCTGCATGTCAACACTGGCTACAAAAACACAACTAGTGTAAAAATCCTCTTGGGGACCTGAAAAGGGAACTTACGCCCTCAGCTGAAAACTCTTAAGGTGCAATTGTTAATATTTTTTAAAAAAACATCATTTTTGCAGCACCCTAAACCTTTTACCTCTGAAGATCTTTACATTCTAGCAAAGACAACTCAAGTCAGCCCAGCTCTCTTCAGATCCTTTACCAAGAACCTCCAGATATCCTTAATTCCTCCAAGGTAATTTCATCTTCTACAGTTTTCTTCCTAGTAAGGCAGGATAAAAGGTCTGGAATACTGACAAAGCAGACAGACCTCTTAAGCACTACACAGTCTCAAAAGCCCGCACTGTATTTGACTCAGTAAAATGCTAACGAAATTTTCCTCACTGATCAATTTGGACACAAAGCAAGAATTTCCAACAGCAACAGCTTGGCAGCACTCTAGCAACACAAAAAGTTTTGAGAGCTTTAAAAGAGCCATTCACACATCCTCACAGAAGATATGGAAGCTTGATATTACAGGGGAGCATGCTGTTACCTTGGTCACGTTTCTAGTGAGCCTTCCAACATGCACTTTTGTAGGTCTGGGTGATGGGCTCCGCCTCTTCCGCTCCTTTTCATCTCTCTTGGGTGGCTTGGACCTGATTTTGACAACAGAAAATGTTTAGTTCTCAGGGAACATGCAAGACAAAACCAAGAAGCCAGTCATCACATGATAAAAAAGGTACCATTTTTCTTGGGAGGGCATCTTTTTTCTTAAGAAGTTACAGGTTAGGAAGTGCTGGGGTGGTAGTGGGGTATTCCACTTAGAAACACCTCAGGACTTGCATTTGCCTTGTCTGGTTTTGCTTTAGAACCTTCTGGAATTTGAGAGCCTTTTTTGTGAGTTTTCAACTTTACTGCAACTATGGTAACAAACACAAAATTTAGCAAACATTTCTTCAGAGTCGTTGGCTATAGTTAAAGAATTTCCCAGTTGTTAAAACAAAAAACGTTCTTTGCCTCAACAATTAAAGAGGCCAAATGAGGACATAAACACCAAAGCATACCACATCCAGGCAAATTAATGGATCTAATGATTTGTGTTTCTGTATCTTCTGTTCACTACAGAGGTCCAGAAATGTCACAGTTAAAAAAAACTATTTAAGTAGCTGCATATCACAATTTCTTTGTAGTTTTTTAAAAAAAATCTGAAATGTAACTTTAATCTGTAAAAAATTCAGTATGCAGAAAATTTATATTTATGCTTCTTCCTAATCTTCCTGTCCATAAATTGAGGGATATACTAAAAAACCACACTGGCTCATAATACTTCAGTAGATTTTTATCAGCCTTCAGCACCTTACCTACAGAATTATCCAAAGGAAAAACTGTATGGACATTAACACAGTGTGATTCCTACCCTTACAGAAAAATGCTTCCTTTGCCCCCCCCAACTCCCCCCCCCAATTTAAGAATATACATATACACATGCACATGCATATACACCATTTTCAGCCCTGACTTTTCTGTTAGTCTTGGCGTAATTTACAGGAACCAAAGAACTTTACTCTCATCTAGTGCCCACAGAGTCCCATACTATTGGGGAAACATTGATTAAAACTGCCTCTACAAAATATAATATTTAAAATCACTCTTTAAAATGAGGTTTTTAATCTCTCTTCCTACAGGGTATACGTTTTGATTGTAAGCAAAAGGAGCACACCCATTCTAACAAAATTCAGATCTCTAAGTTATGGAGAAAGCAAATGGTCCTCAGAAAAAAAATCTATTCTGATAACAATCTTGTATTCTACATGGATATTAACCTGCCATCTGGTAATTCCTAGAAGGCAGATAAAACTCACTTGGAGCGGGAGCGTCTCCTGTTGTCATGTCTCCGTCGAGAGGGACTTGGAGATCCAGAGGAGCTGCTGGAACTGGAACTGCGTGAGGTGCTGGAGCTCCCAGAGCGGCTCGAGGCAGAAGAGGAGCTAGAGCCACTGCTAGAACCGGTGCTGGAACTGGACCCTGAACTGGAAGTTGAGCTGGAACGGGATCTGTTGGGGGGGAAGGGAGAGGAGGGGGCATAAAAATGACTGGAGTACCCAGAAAAAGAATGGCTGGAAAACTGATAGTTACAGAGAGTGAGTTAGAACAATGAAAACTGATGCTCAGTAGACAGCCAAAGGAAATTCATACCTAAAAAAATAAACCCCTTAAGTTAGACAAAACTGCACTGTGACTAACACAATGCAAGCTTTCAACAAGTCCATGACACAGGGAATGAAACGTACCAGAAATCAAGCTGGTGTTTTCTGAAAACACTGCAATTTGTTACTACCTGTAAAAGTAACTACCTGGTACTGCTGCTCCCACTGGAAGCACTGCGTCTTTTGCGTGTCTTGTCTCGACCACGATCCTTTTCACCTGATTCCTTAGTAGCTGCTTTATCCTTGGCCCGATCCTTTGATTTCTCTTCAGACCTATCCTTGCGCTTGGTTGGTGAGGGAGCCCTTCAAGAACAAATTGCAGAAGACATTGTTTAATACAGAAAAACACAAACAACAAAAAAACCCACATCCAAACAAAGAACAGAACAGCAACACAAAACATTGAACTTCAAATGTAACTCAAGACCAAGCATTAGGCAAGTTTGGACTTTTTAGAAAGGAAAATATTTTTGATTACAAAGCAATTTGAGGAAGACAGCTACAGCATACAGAAATTCACGCAGAAAGAGGTATATTTCCAAGTCCTCACCCTCACTGGGAGAGCCCTAGTACCCTGTAACATCCCCAGTTTTGTTAAGCCTAAAAAATTTGGACAGAATGATTACCTAGTGTTGGATTTTTTATTATTTTCTTTGAGTCCTAGCAAACTCTTCTTTTTCAATCCTGATAACTCCATTTCCCCTTCGGAGGTGTCCAAAGCAGCACCGAATGGGCCTCACTTATCTCAAATCTCACTTCTAACTCCTCGATTCTGAGAACCGATCCCTAATCGAGTGTAATAAACTCCAAAGAACAGCCTAGTGACAAGATAAAAGGGTTTAGAAACAAGAAATTAACAGATAGGCATAAAACAACAAACCCCCTTTGCAACAATGGCAGCACACTGGGCATCAACCGACTTCTATAGAGTACTTCAGTTACACATACTGTTACACGGCCGTTAACAGCCAACCTCTGTGCCTGCTCACATTGGCACAGTGTACCTCATGTAAAAGTCTGCATCTATACTTAAAGCTACCATTTTGACATTCACAGAAGTACAAAGGACCTTAATTATCCAACCAAAAAAATGGCAGAGGACATCCATTTCCTCTGCAAGATGTAAATGCAGCTCATGCCTCTTGACAACAGCCTTGTCTCCAGAGGAGTAAGCACTGGTTTTCTGCAAAGCCAATTTGGGCCACTTAGCGTATATTTGTCAGGAAAAAAGGGTTGTTGAGAACAAAACCCCCCACTGAATTACAGCTGCTTTCAGCCTCAACAAGCTGCTTCCAAAGCTCTGTCAGCCTTGGAAATACCAGATTAAAGGGCCCAGTTTGCTGCACTGCTGCAAGAGCAGATTCTACTTTTAACTTCTTAGCAGAAAGTAAACTGGATTCTGACCTCATCTAGCCCCAATCAGTTCCCTCTTTACTCAAGATCCAAAAGGAGACAAATTTAACACCCTACTATTTAACACTGAAATACTGGGCATTAGTTGAATTCCAGATGTTTCCCATGAGAGAGGTGCATCCATCACATATTCTGTGATGTCTAAACATGTTGCATTTTGACTATTCCACGTGGGTTGTTTAACACCTGCATTACAAAGCTGCCTCCAATGTATGTTTTAATAACCACTAAAAGAGCGTGGCAGATTTGATTTGGTGTAACACCCCTTATCTACCTATGAATGAAACATTCAGGAAATGGAAGAGTGGGCATAAGCATGTCTGAACTGCCAGGCTTATCTGAAGTGACATTGAATATTCACAATACTGCATGATGTTGAAAACATCTCTATCTCCACATGCATCACAGGCAAAATTAGTTAAGAAAAAAAACTCTCCAGCTCACTGCATCCAACAGTCTTGTTGCTTCTATGCTTCTGGTGTCAGAGTCTGGTATGCAATTACTTTACTCTCTAAATTGCAATTAAATTTATGTTTGGGAAGAGATCACTTCTGAACAGTTGAACTCACTTTCCAGATTTTCAGCTTCACAGTTTTCTCTAATACAACAACTCCAAAAAGCAACACAAATGAACATTCACAAACCCAGCTCTCTGAAGATCCAGAAGTCAAGAAACATCCATGCCTTTTTGCATGGAGAACAGGAAACACACAACACAAATGTGACACCAGCAGGGCTCACTGGGAGAGGAAATGTCTTCTCTAACACCAGTGGCAGTAAGAAGGCAGTCCACAGACTGTTCCATAAGTGCTGCAAAGGTGACTAAGAAAAGCAAACCTGTGTATGCCATTCAGCTGTATGACATTTCTAACCAGCTCTATACCTGTAGTGCAAAGTGTGAGGGGACTGCACTTCAAAAATTGAAAGCCACTGCATGAGACCAGCTGACTCACTTGGAAGAACAGAACAGTCAAGTTTCTGGACTCACAAGGCCAAAAAACTTGACATTTTCCTTTCCCACCTTTCTTCTCCTATCACAGTCAGGTTTGTGCTATCTCTTCCTACACACTGACTTCTCTTGCATCTGTGGACTATCACAGATTTGTATGCTATCAGCTCAACCATGCAAAACTATCTATTATTGACTGATAGCTGGCTCCAGTTTTACCCCTGCTGGAAGGAGGGAAGAGAGAGAGCCCACATAAAGACCAGCACACGCTTTGCTGTTACCCAGCCTGCTGCTGGAATAGTAATACTTCAGTTAAACAGCTACCACTTTGGCACCACTTCTCAGGACAGGCACTACCAGACAGATTAGCCCTATGGTGTTTATACATTCAGCAAACTTCCATATGATGGTAAATGCATTTAAGCAGCCTGCAAACTAAACACTGTTTTCTCTCCAACAAAATATATGTACCTTTCTCAAAAATGCCACTTGCCTAGCTTACTTCAGTTGGAAACCTGAGCTAAGAGACACAGCCTGCGGGCACTTTCACCTGTATGTGTTCAGATATTCACTGGAAGATGTGGAAAGAATAATATCATAATCTTCTCACAGGCTGTATAACAACGCATTTCTAAGCAACACAATCCTACAAACACAATTTCCTACAATCAAAAAAACCTCTTAATTCCTAACAAGTCAATGTTTTTGCAGTACCCACCCCAAACCAAAAAGTCTAAAAGCAATCTACACAGGCCAAACATTCATTTCACACACACACCTCTCTGCTTTAAAGAGTTGACTTGCACTCTTAGAGAGCTGCAATTCTGTAGCAAAGGAAGCAAACTCAGCTCTCCCCCGGACTTCCTGCACGACTACAGGCAAGTCCTTTAATGGCAGTTTGCTTCAGATCCTCATTTGCAAAATGGGGAAAAGATTTCCTCGTGTGAGGAGAGGGTTCAATGCTCGGCAGTTCTGTGCAAAGTTACGGCCACTCGCCCAAGCTAACTACAGCGAGCAGGGCCGGAGGAGCACAAGGGCAGCCAGCTCCGCATCCCGGTTCGCACGCCATGGGGTACGTTACGGCGCCGGGCGGACCGAGGGCTTGTCGCTGCTGACCGCACCGTACATGTTGCCATACTATGAGCGAAGCCAAGGCGCGGGCTGAGGAACAGGGAGAGAAAAGCACAGACCAAGCACAGAGTCGGTTCAGAGCAGAGTCCGCA